ATCGCACATACAACATTAAGCTACGTCGAGATCCATCACATTTGCTGATTTCCGCGCGTTAAAAATGTTGCGTCACTGAATGTTATCGATTTTTATTATCTTTCTTTGTTGTATTCTTTTATGTTCTTTTTATATCTTTTATATTATATTCTTTTTACATCTGAGGAGGGCTCAATCCAGCAGCCGAAACTTGTTTGTTTTATATTTTAATATACGCCGTTGCTCTTTTTATTTTATTTTATGTATCTTTGACTGTTATCTTTAATTATATATATTATGCGACGATTCTTTTTCGCCATTTATTTTGTTTATTTTGTTTATACATAAAGAGTCTTTATACCGTTGTTATTTAATAATAATGATATAAAAACATGAAAAATAAGTAATAGAATAATTTTCTCACTGTTCGTTGTAGAAAAAATCAAGTTTAGAGAAATGTAAAAAAATTGTTCATACACAATTATATATAATTTCATATAAGTTGTGACGTGACAATTTTTGTCCGTCACTGTCGAGAGTCGGCAGGGGAATCTCGAGTCCTCCCGGCGCGCAGGACGAGCACACATGCGAACGTCCTGCGTTATTCACTTAATTATTTATTTTTGTTTACTTTTTCGTGAAACTTTATTCTGTATTAGTCAGTCTTGCACTTAGACTTAGAATCGCCCACGGACTGTGCTCGGTAGCTGCACTTTTCATACTGTAACTTTGCCGTCTCACCCACCATTGGAAGAGGAAAGACCATAACGCCAAGAAGAAAGAAGATGCGACGCAACGCGAAGGCCGCTTACCCGGGAGCTCGGACACATAGGTCGTAAAATTTTATGTCTTTGTTTTATAATCCGCTGCCGCCGTGAACCTTGTATCGCACGCCTCTTACAGAGTACGACGGAAGGCGAGAACTCCCGGCCACCAGAGGAACAGTGTAGGGGGCATATATCCCCGACGCGGAGCCGATAGAGGAACTGTCAGGATATCCTGCGTCAGCTCGAGAAATCTAGGGGCTTCAGGCGATGAAGGAGCCCATGAAAAATTGTATTGCACGCTCTAATAGCGTTTTCTCTTGGCTGCACTATCGCCCACTAATAACTCAGACAGTGTACCGTGTTTCCATGGCTGGTGGTAAGCGAACTCATTCGGTGTACCGTGTTTCCATGGCTACGGTATAGTGCAAATTTTATGCACAGAGTGGGATTTTGCTACACCGTCTCAAAAAGACGATCTAGAGCCAGTGACATTTAAATTTTGAAAATGGAAATCAAGCAGGAATAGGGTTTTAGCACAATAATAATGTAGTGTACATCATGGTGTACACCACTCTGATGTAATGTAGCGCTTACACGCAATTGGTGCGGTGCGTGGGCTGCATCCAGTGTATCCCAAGAGAAAATTGCTATAAAATGCAAGGATTCGCGGCCCGCGAGCACCTGTGCAGTACGTGCTGGCGGCGTAATTGACAGGAGCCAATCGGTGCGTGACATAGCCCCAATGAAGGGGGAGGGGAGATGGGCGGACGGCCTGCATGAATCTGCAAGGAGCTTCCAGGACTCACTCGTTCTGTGGCTAAGACAATTGTAAGAGGATCTGCGCCTTTCTCTACTGATATTATGACGAGAAGATTAGAGACCGCTGTCAAAAACTGTCATGTGCGGAGTAACTGAGAATCCTATATCTAAGAGTGAGACAAACGTCATCGCCGCTGTAAAGCTGCCGATCCGGGTTTGCAGTTTCGGGTGGATCGCACGTGAAAAACTCGTGTGGTGAAGAACGGCTGATCGCCGTCTGAACGCGAAATCGCGAACACGTGCCATCCTCCCAAGCATTGCTGTTAGAAGAATTATTCGTTGTCAAATTGCGCTCGCCTTTCTTGCCACAATCGAGTTACTTTCCATTTTGTTCTGTATCTTTTGTGTAGTGCCGAGTCGATTAGTAATTTATCGTGTGCTTGGATTATCTTCTAGATTCGAATTTATCCTCTCGGGTAACACACTTTGTCAAGAATACGCACTCTTGTACGCCGGATTCCGCGAATACTTTGTTGTCGTATCTCCGAAGATGATCGTTCGGAAAATTAAAATCCTTCGAGATAACGTACGATTGTTAAACCGGCATTGCAAAAAACCGTTGTCGCCCGCAGAAGTAGCTCATATTAGATCCGGCTTACGGAGCGAAGCTCCAGATACTGATTATAAATCGGCTTCATTAAATACAATTGTTATCTATTTCATTATTAATTTGTGTGTGGTTCTTGCCGCCTATCTCTCTCGTCTTCCGACAA